CTTGCTTCCCAAACTGGAGGCAAACCACTTCAGGGTGTGAATCTGGAGTCCTTTAATGACAGAGGCAGAAATAACTTGCCTCAGTCTGCTTCAGAACCCAAAGAGAGAGGAGAGCAGACAGTCTCCTGCTCATTGAATAATTAATCATCAACTAATGCTGTCTTTGTAAGTGATAAGTGGGAAATGTACTTACTAGATGAGGTGTGGGCAGCCTGAAGGTCACTGTGCAGCAGGGCAGTACTGCAGTGCTCTGGGAACAGAGCAGCTGGACACTTGCTTAATATTTAAGCCTTAACAGGAAATGGAGAAAAGGTGCATCAGCTGAGAAACCTTGTTTGCTTCTGCTTTTCACACACCTACTGAATCTGGTTCTGCAACAAACACTGCTGGCAAAGGGGTTAGATTGTTCCATCTCTTCTTACAATGGTTTGGTGTTTACACCACTTAACCCGGGGCTATTCATCCTCTGTGCTAAATATTTGATTAGTATTATGTTCCCAGGTGAATAGCCTAAAAGGTTAAGGAACAAGTTGTACTTAGTGCTGCTGCTGTCCCAGTGACAGTTATTCTGTAAGTGGAACAGCCAACATGGGAAATAGGAACAACTTCCCTCCCTTTCATTGGAAGAGCTTTCAGCCTCTGCTTTAGGGCAGTTTCCTGGCAGGGTTGTGTTCTAGGTAGTCTCGGGTAGATGGTAGTTAAACCGGCTTCTCATGTTCTGCACAAGCGTGTACGTCGTTTAACTCTGCCAGCTATGGGGAAACAGACACTTCTTCCCTTATGAGAGACAGTGGTTCCCTCCTCACTTCTTGAAGGAGAGGTATTAGGTATCAGGGAAGGCTTTACGGCTAAACCTCTGAGGTCCCACAGGGAAGAGGGATTTGACCATGTGGCCTTACTTATCCATGAAGCTGGTTGCTCTGGCTTGTATCCACAGATGCCCAACTTTTCCCATACATTGCCCATAGGGAACAGTGAGCTCTCTGCATTGCAACATGGATGTGTCTACAAGATGACTTGCAGCACTGCTAGCATGAAGTGTTGCTAAAGGAGTCCAGCCTTCTTTTGATGACTTGCATACAGACATACAGAAAGCATCACTTGTTATTTCTTCTGTCTTGCAGACATGTGCACATCGCTATGAGAAGAGACAGTATGTAAACACTGTGCAGGAAACCCGGGATATCATTGGAAGGTGCTATGTGCTGAGCCAGGATCTCACTATTAAAGATGATATGGATAATGGAGTTTGGAGTTTCTGTGATGGTCGTTTAAGAGGCCATGAGAAGTTTGGTTCCTGTCAGCAAGGTGTTGCTGCTACTTTTACTAGAGACTATCATTATATTGTGTTTGGTGCCCCAGGCACTTACAACTGGAAAGGTATGAGCTGGCTTCCTTCCTGCCTATCCTTCCCATTTCCTTGCTCACAAGGGTTGCACCCTCAGTTTTCTTTTTTTTTTTTGGAGGGGGGAGGGGATAACAGGAGTCTAATGATTTTATCCCGTTTTCACAAAAAGTATGCTTCTGTATCACAAGTATTTACTGATATTCCTTTCAATGTATTTATCCTGCAGTGTTCTCCATTTTGTTCTTTGTGACGTCTGTAGAAAATAGGACTTCCCAAAGTAGATACTGGAAGATTGCAGGAAGATAACTGAATAGAGCCATACTACATGTATTCATATCTGAATCCATGGATAATCTGTCTGATTAAGAGCCAAGTACTCTCTATCATCTAGGAGATGAAGGGGGAAAATAACCGTGGTTTTTCTGTTAGTTTATATTGAGAAGCATCGAAACGGCCAGCTCTGTCTGAAAGTGATTTTTCCCGTCACACTTCATTAGACAAACAGCTGTAAATATTTCCCTCTTTAGAACATCTGATCCTTGAACCATTACATTTTTCCCTCGTACACCTGCGCCTGCTCTGTGAACCGTGCAAAATCTTTGAGTTAAGCTCTGGCATAAGGTGTACTTTAGTGAAAACTTAATCTTCCCCGTATCTGTCAACAAAACCTGACCAAGCTGAAACAGCATATTGAGTTCACACGCTGCTTGGCTTCAATTGCAGAGCAGTGCTATGACAGTCTGTCAGTCATAGGAGTACTCTTATGTATCATGGAAAACATGTTTGTGCTTGCCAAAATGTTAAATATGCCCCTGATAAAAGGGGAGCACATATTCTATCAAGCAGTAGCTCTTTTCCCCATAAGTAATGTTTTCTGAATACATCACCAGTGATTGTCATGGCTGAGCAGTCATTTTTAGTTATTTCTTTCTTTAATTCCTGTGTATTTACCTCCCTTTTAAGAGAGACTTTATGAGGTTAAGAACTGTGGGATGGGGGTGCTTCCTCACCATGTTGGTGCCGTGTGTTTGCTGAGAATTTCCATGTTTTCCAGATATTGCTTGGCCTCTCTGGAGAGCAGCCTGAGTGGCACACAGATAGACCACAGAAATTCATTGCCTTTTGAAAACACTGTCACCCAGTGCATTTTGTCCCATTTAAACAGCTGTCACCATCTCATTCATTGTAATTAATGTTATTTGGGAACCACTTATCTGTTATTTTTCTCCTTTACCATTCATTTGCTTTTATTTTATCATTTCATCTCCCCAGGGGTGGTTCGTGCAGAGCAAAAGAATCAGACATTTTATGATCTGGGTATCTTTGATGATGGGCCTTACGAAGTTGGTGATGAGAGCCGCCAAGATAAGAATCTAGTTCCTGTTCCAGCTAACAGTTACTTAGGTAGGACTAAGTCCATATGGTGAATCTCTTTAGGCATAAGTGTTAATTTATGATCCCAGCCCGGTGTGATGATGTGAAATGGGAACAGAAAACACTTCATTTGCGGACCCTGTAAAGTGTTAACCGTTTTGGCTAATTCACGTCTCCCTCTACGCTCATGGGCCAGTTTTAAGTGTAAGGTGGTGTTCTGCTGAGGAACCTAGAAGAGCTGCGAATGTAATGAGACCTTTAAGAGCTGTGGTGAGGACCTACAGATTTCAGGGAGCGATTATAATCGCTCTGATGGTTAAGTACAGTGTATGATCTGTAGTCCTGAGTCACAAGGTCTTTGCCATGTGGTATCAGAGGTTTATAAAAATACGAGTTTCTGGGTATAAGTGTCAAGACAGCAGCTTCTGCACTCCTGGTAAGTGAGTGCACTGTTTTCTTAAAGGTTTTAAATCTCCAGTGGCCTGCTTACAAGTCTTTATAACACCATAATATGAGTAGTGTTTGTGTTTAAAGTGTGTGTGTGTTGCAGGACATGAGTCTCTTGCACCTTATGCATGCATGAAAGCAGCAATATGCCCTTAGGCCAGTGGACGTCACTGTACACCAGTGAGGTACTTTGGTGCAGAGAAAAGGCTGCGCTGCATTTTTGGAAAGGTCTCGAGCGTGAAGGGCCTTTCTGTTCTGGTGCAGGTTTCCATGGTGTTCTGACCCACTGCTTTTGCATTTGCAGCAAGAACAGTTTTGGCAACTTGAGAATGGAATTTCTGTGCGAGTGGGGGAAACCGAACAGGTGGGAAGGGCATCACTCACCCAAAAAGTAGAAGCAAGTCAGGAGAAGAGCCAGCTTAGAGCTATGTATCTCTTAGAAGACATAGAACATAAACTTCCATTAAGTATCAGTAGTAATTACTGGGTGTAAAAAAAAAATTAAACTCATAAGAGCTTATGTTAGAAAGACAAGCTGCCAGCCTCTGCTGGTGAAACAGCAATTGGTGCAGTGAGGATGCTGCGGAGGTGTCTTTTGCTGTGAACAGAGCAATCCGGACTTCTTGTAGTTTCCTAACAAACGCATTTACCTCCTACATGTAAATGCTGCCTTTGATGTGTCATAATCAAACCCACTTCCAGGCAAGCCTGCTGTGCACTGGCATTGCTGTTCCTTCTGTTTAGACAGTAAATAAACACGGTTATAGCTGCTTTGCTTAACTGCTGTTCTTTTTCTCTTCAATCTTTCACTCGTGTGTACAGGTCTTCTGTTTTTGACAGCTGTATCTGATACTCATCCAGATCAGTTTGTATACAAAACACTGCCTCCCAGCACACAGGTGGACAACTCGGTGGATGTTATGATGAATAGCTACTTAGGTTTGTGACCACCTGAGGTGGCAGCATCTGGTCAGACATAATCTCCAGACCTGTGACATGATCCTTTCCCCTCCATCCCCTCCTCATCTCAAATACATTGCAAGTAAAGCATGTAAACGTTGGGATTCAGATGAAGAGGAGCTTGCAAAATAACATGGCTTCAGAGAAACACTGATTTGTCATGCATTTCTCCAAACCTCTCATCCCTCCCCCAGATGGGACTCCCTGAATTCTTCTGAAACTGCCTCGTTGTGCACTGCTGTAATTGAGAATTTTCATGGTAGTGGTGAAGTGTTTCAGAAGGGAGATTTCTATCTGCTGGCTGGTATCTTCCTTCCTTGCAATGCGCATCACTTGCTACTTTGGCTTTTATTGGATATGTTGGCTTATGCAGTGTGTTCTTTTATCAGTTTTGATACATTTAAAAACGCATTGACTTCTATAAAGAAGATGTAGAACTAAATCATTTGAATGTGTCCTTTAGGGCTGCTTATATCAAAATTGCCCATTTCACCATTACTGTGTAAGCTGATTCTCAAATACTGTGTACATCCTTCATGTGAGGTACTGTGCTTGTGTATTACATTGTGCATGTTTGCAGCAGAACAATACTGACTTGTACTTAGCAAGGTTTAGAATAATTTTGCCAGAGGTGAACCATTTGTGCTATATTCAAGTGGTAAGGCTGGTGTTCAAGTTCTAAGCTTGTATTTGGTGTCTGTGAAAAGTAAATCTGAGTGAGCAATGCAATAATGTGTTTTGTGGAGGAAATACTTAGATGTTATGTGTGGAACAGTGTAGATCTGTAAAAATGGATCCACCAGTCCAAGTAGAAATGGAGAATGCCCAGTACATTGTACTCTGTTTTAGGCAAAACTTCCATGATTCAATGTACCACTTTAATATAGTAGGAGAATTTATTTTCCCTGTCAGCAGTACAAGCTGTCAGTTTGTGTATTCATATTTTCTTTCTTTCTCTGTTCAAGGTTTCTCTTTGGACTCTGGTAAAGGAATTGTCTCCCAGGATGAGATGACTTTTGTGTCTGGTGCCCCAAGAGCCAACCACAGCGGAGCAGTTGTTCTACTGAAAAAAGAGAAGAACCAGAGAGCGCTGTCACTGGAGCACATGTTTGAAGGAGAAGGGCTGGCCTCTTCTTTTGGCTATGATGTTGCTGTTGTGGATCTCAACAATGATGGGTATGGCCTTGGTAACTCCTATAATGAAGGATGGCAGTCTGGTTTATTTCTGCTTTGATTTTCCATGTTAGAAATACAAGGAATGCCAAATCCCATCTTCCATGTTTTGCTGGAGGAAATGGTGGGCACCTCAGAGAACCAGTCAGGATACAGTCTACATTTCTAATTACAGAAAAGAGTTTTATTTAAACAATTAGTGGAAACACAGAAGGAAAAAACAAATCCCATACCTGATAAAGGCCCTAGAAGATCCTTGTATGTCACAAAGGGAACACAAGCAGTTTGTAGTATCGGAGCTGTTGTTGCTCAACCAGCCCAATGTATTTTTCAGCCCCTGTTCAGCAGCTATTTGGCCAGCTGACTTTGAGACCGTGGTCCCATCAGTTGATCAGTCATTTTTCACAGTCCTTCTGTAAAAGCATCCCTTCATTTTTTTTCCTTTAATTCTAAGGTGGCAGGACATTGTTGTTGGAGCCCCGCAGTATTTTGACAGAAGTGGAGACATTGGTGGTGCTGCCTACATCTACATTAACCAGCAAGGCAAATGGGACAGAGTAAAGCCCATTCGCTTAAATGGAACCACCGACTCCATGTTTGGTCTTGCAGTTGAAAATGTAGGGGACGTTAATCAGGACGGATATCCAGGTGAGTGAAACACAACTGCCGTACAAACGTACGGCACTTTCTTGCTAATGCCAGACGTGGAACACCCTGTATGCACCTTCAACATGATTGCAGGCTGCAGAAAGAGCAAGAATGATTTTAGGTATCGCCACTTCTTTTCAACAGATATTGCAATAGGGGCTCCCTATGATGGTTTTGGCAAAGTATACATTTATCATGGATCCAGGAATGGAATAAACGCAAAACCAGCACAGGTAATGAAATAACCGTTACTATACAGAATTAGTCTTGCACAAAATGAATGTCAGGACTATCCATCTTCTCCCTTTCCACTGCTTTTAGTGGGTTGGGGGACATGCAGAGAAGTCACAGGGCCCTTGCATTACTGACCAGGAAGTTTAGGGATGCTTAATTTCAATACACATTTTTGCTTCCTGGGCAGTCCTTTGGCAGCAATAACACGTAGAGAAAGAAAAAGGCACGTAGATGGGTAAGTCTGGGTTTTTTGAAAGAAATTTTTGGATTCTAAAATAATTGGTGTGTTCATTTCCTCTTGCACTACTGCTCCTTCACTTTCCTTTTTAAGAAGATATGTTTATGCCTTTTTCGTATTTACTTGAGGACTGCTGTGTTCAGTTTGCAAGGTGAGAATGGAACTTGATTATGCTTCTTAGAATCCTGTAAGAATATTTTCTAGGTAAGTTTTCAGTTTTAAGTGCCTTACTGCATAAATGCTATAAATAAAGATAAGCTAGGTCACATTTCTGTGCGAACCAGTAATTTCTGGTACTTGCTGCTACTGCACAGTAAGTTCTTGGAAGAAAAGCAAACCTTGGCACTTCAGTTTATTTACCTGAACACAGAGATCCCATTTCCTTGTATCTATTTTTTTTTTTTTTCTCCTGGCCATGAGTCAATGATGTTCACTTGTTGCTTATTTCACTTTTAGAGCTTTTAAATGTCTGAATTCCCTCAATCTGTTTGATCTTTAGATTCTTGATGGTGAAAAAACAGGCACCAATTTTTTTGGTTACTCTATTGCTGGAAACATGGACCTGGACAAAAACTCCTACCCCGATATTGCTGTTGGTTCCCTTTCAGATTCTGTTTCTGTGTTCAGGTATTATATACAGAACTGGTATTATATACGGAATAATACAGAACTGGTGGTGTATACAGAACCAAGGCTTTAGGTTTAGTTTTCTCAAAAACCAGCCTGCTGAGAAGTAACACAAAGCTGTTTGGCCTGCAGTGCATTTTTCCTTCTAGAAGCTGGAAATTCTGGAGGGGAAAAAAAATCCATAAATTGGTTTATTATTTTAGACCTTTCTTCCCATTGAGAAGCTTTACAATCAATACAGGGTAAGAGGGTGAACGTGGACAGTTACTGTGGAGCGCTGATGCGTGTAGTATAGCTGTACCCTGGCATTGGCCAGTGATAACTTACTTGGATGCTGATGTCCTTTGATGGAGTTAAGGGTGATAAATAATTCTTTTGCCTTAAGGAGAAGTTAACGGGTATGTTTGCTAGAGCTTTTGTTTGCTGCTGTTAGAGATCTAATCTTGCTTTATTGAAGATAGGACAAAACCAAACCAAACCCCTCTTTTGTAGCTGAGGATCCAAAAGCAGCGAGGCATACGGCCTTCCTGATGTTGCACTGGGTCCATGAAACAGCTTTGAGACAGCCCTGTAGACAGGATACTTTCAGATTTTGGTGGCATATGCCTTAATTAGGGATGAGGTCATGGTCTTTTGCAGACCTCTGCCTTTTTTCCAGTTTAATGTACTGTGAATCACTAGTAATGAGCAGGAAGAAGACTGTCTCCTCATCAGAGCTGTGATTGCCACGTCAGCTTCAGGTCTTTGGTGGTTGCTGTGAGGTCCCGAAGGAGGAGGAACAGAAACTCCCAAAACAACTCTACCTTTCAGACAGACCACCTTTCCTACAATTTTTTTTGACCGTCTCATCTCTAAGGTGTATCGTATCTGTGTACTGAATTGGAATATTCTTAAATACACTGAAACAGCAGCCAACAAAAGGCACTCCTGTTGCTTGTGGAAGAGAACAGAGTAGGTGGAAGGGAGGTCGCTTAGATTTAAGTGTTCTGCTTACTCAAAAGGAGCTTTAATCATTTGCTGATAAGGGCAGTATGAAAACTTTTACAGAGATGAGAATGAAAACCTTTGTGGTGGCCAACAGTGGTGGCCTGCTTAAAAGAAATTTGCTAAAAGAGGAGGCGGCGGCTTTTTGGCCATTTTAAGCAGCGCTTAGATGCTTTGATGGGATCAGCTCATTCGTTTGCTCATGAGAACTGTCTTTTCTTGTCCCTTCCAAAAAGGAAGAGAAAGGAAAAGTTGTCAGGCTGAATTATGGTTACAGCCTACATGCAGAGGAGTCAGGAAATGAAAACATCTTTTCCCACAGCCACCCCGGCTCCACATTAAAGCTGTTGTGAACATTAATCTCAATGAACTTCAGTACCTACAGTAGTTCACACGGGCTGAATTACCATTGGGGTGGGAACCATCACTGTGAATTTTCTGTTTTTTATACATGTGTAAAATGACAACCACAGCCACACGTTAACATGCCCTGCTTCCCAGGCAGGCATTTAATTGCGATTGTGTTGGGTTTTGTGACTCACTTTGCTTAAACTTTGAGTAGTTTTGTTTCTAACCATTATCAAAGCCAAATTCTGTTTCCTGGGGTGCCTGTTGCAAATCCGTGCAGGCATGGAGGGTGTCTGGGATTCACATGAATTACTGCATTGATCTTAACAGAAACTTTTTGTTTTACCCCCTCTTTTGATTCCCCATTTTTCCCCCAAATAAAGATCCCGGCCTGTGATAAGCATTAAAAAAAGCGTTACGGTACAGCCTGACCGAATTGATCTGAAGAAAAAGAACCCCGAGGACCCCAGTGAAATATGGTAAATTAAAAAAACAACAAACAAGTGTATCAGAAGCCTTGGTGTCTTGGGTTTTCCGCTGTGATGATGTTAACTCGGAGGGCTGTGACAGTCATGCAGGTTAAGCAAATATACGTACATGTGATCATTTTGATCTCCTGAATTTGCTGTGACCACTTTGCTAAGCACAAGGTGTGGAATTGTTCTGTTCATAATGTCCATTTTTGAAAACGAATGTCACTTTGCCACTTCAGATTTTAACACTTACCAGTATCTTATCTTGAACAGCTCTCAGTAGAGATACAAGAACAAATGCCAGAAAATACTCCTTCTAATTGCTTATTAGCCATTTTTTCTTGCTTTGCAGTTCTGTTTAGTAAGCAGCAAATTACTGTTGTAGCATGAAAACCAGAGTCATAGAACTGATAATATCAGTCAATGGACTGTTAAAACTTTTCAGCCTGTTGGACTGTGCCCTATTAATTTCTTGGCTGTTTTTACAGGATGGATGTGAAAGCCTGCTTTCAGTATACTGCAAACCCCAGAGATTTAAATCCACGAATAAGTAAGTTTTGACGATAAATGTTTCTGATGTGTTTGTCTGTCACGTGCTTTGTGTGGTTTTTGAAATTATTATTACTATTATTTGGAGCATGTAATGGAAGAACAGCACTCAAATTATAGTGACTAACCTCAGATTGTGACTGTCAGATGTAAAATGTGACTTGGTACTAAGGTCTGTCAGCTACCACACCATCTGTCTTTAGAGTCATGCTGGTGTGTTACAAAGTTCATGACAGACCGAACTGAAGCTTTCTAGGTAATGTAACTGCCAGTGAGCAAGAGGCTGCCATACAGACCAACACCATGTTGCTTCTCTAGGTTAGTGCTGCTTTAGAAAGCAGTTTTAAAGTCCATCTTATAAATCATTAGTAAGCATTATTTCTCATTGGAGACTTACCATATAAACCAGCGTTCTGTATTGATGAAAATGGTTTTGTGGAAATCGGTAATGGAAATAAAAAGATCTTTGTATTAATAGGAGCTTGGAAGACTGTGCCATAAATATAGTTAGAAATGAAAAGCATTAGTTTCTCATGTGTCCTGTTTTTTCTCTTGTTAAAATGCCACTGTTACTAAATCTGGGAAAACCGTGTAGGATTTTGAGAGGAAATGAGAAGAATTTTAAGCCCAAACCTCCTCCTCCTCCTGGATGGTCTTTAGTTTCTCAGTTACTTGTCAAATTCCATAGGATGTGCGTGAATAAGGTCCTGGTCCTTCAACAGGTCAAGTGCTTCCAGCTCTTAGAGGCTGCTCATGTGTGCCTGTCTGCGCACTCCTCAGGCCTGGAATGCTCAGTGCTGTTGCCATCCTTTCAACATTAAACTGTCTTGGTCAATACGCAGATGATCAAAAGATGTAGAGAGTTCAGAGTATTCACAAAGTTTTGTATCTCGGCCCTCTACTGGCTCCACAGCAGCAATTACAGCTCCTCCAGCCAGCTCTGCATGCTGGTGAAGTAATGGGGTACTTTGGAAATGAAGGTTTTGGTGTAAAAGTTTCCTTTAGGTACATGTACAGGGTACCTGGCCCTGCACTGGAGAGGGGCAAAATAGCCGAGAATGGTT